AAATTTTATATAACATAGAAATTTTGCACAGGAAGATTGACACGCGTATAATATATATATATAGTTATTGCTAAATATGGAGAATGTTTATTTGAGACTATAATTAGTCTCGAAGAGATGTCCAGCTCTGAAGTATAGTATACTTCACTCGCACGCAAGCCGATTCCGCTGTCGTTGCTTTATAAGGCACTTATCAAGCACTGCGAATTTCCACTAATTTTCTGTCAAGCATGTGACTCATCTGGAAATTTTATCATTCTTCGAAATTGGCGTAATCGTTATCTCTTGATACTCTCTTGATACTCATTAATTGCTGACAAAACATGAGATATCGGTAACTAATGTTTGCAAAATAATATTTATAAAATATCGTATTACGATATTGTGATACTATATTATTATATCACCTTATTTTAATATAGTATATTACTATAGCATTTTATATTATTTTTATTTTATTTTATATTTCATATTATAACGTTTTATAGTATATTACTATAAATAGAATTATAATCCTCTATCACGTTATAAATTTATAAATAAAAATTTGTCTGTTATCAATATTATTATTATTGTTGTCTATGAAGAAAAATAGTAACAATCTCTAACGCGATGTGCAAAAATGAATAGTATAACGGTACGAAAGGTGTTACTAATGTGCAAAGTGGCCATGGAAATGAGCCATCATGGAGTTGACGCTTCCGATTAGCGCGCTTTTTAGCACACTTAGCGAAATCGATCGGAGTTGAGGAAAACATGGGTTCTTCATGTAGTAATAGCATTAGGTTCACGTAATATTGCAGCTTGAGACGTTCGCTTTCATTGTTCATCTTGTTGCGACTTCCTTCGAGTAGCTTATTCTCCAGTAGTGCTTCGATAGTTACAGATTGGTGCAATTTAAAAAATAATTAAATCAGCGAATTACCAATTACAATAAATTCTGCTCTCAATTAAAAATCCAATCTCCTCCCTCTGCTTATCATTTTTATAATTATTCCATTTTCCATTTCTTTTCATTTTTCTATCCATAATTAAATCATCATTGAGTGTCACTAGTTCTGTCACTAGTTCTGTCACTAGTTCGTATGATGCAACACAGGAATGCAAATTGCGATCATTATGATTCTACGGTACTCGGCCAATATTTAAAAAAATTATTGCAAATGTACAAGTTTCTTTTTTTTTCAATTTTTAATAATTAAAGAAATGCTTGATTTATGCATTTTTAAATGTGATCTTTGAATGAGGAGGTTCTAAGTTTGTTTCGTTTCTTTTTAAATTTTTATCGATAGAATGCAAGAGACTGATGGGGGATTTTTCGAAAATCTCGGGACACTATTGGCCGAGAAGGTGCGAGCACAGGAGCAGGCGGAGGGACCGCTTCCGAAGAAGAGAGATGAGGCTGAGGAAGAGGAAGAAGGGGACGATTTGAGCGAGGAAGGTAGCATCGAAGAAGCTGTCGAGGCACTTTTGGAGACTGACAGCGACAGGGATGAGAATGAGCACACCGCGAATTTTATGATCGAGTCTATGGGGTGGAACGTGAGTTGCATATCATTTTTATTTTATTTAAACGTGAAATCATTGATTTATTATTGGATACTAATATCTTACTTCGAATGACGAATTTTTAAAACACTTGCACGTATATCTATAAAATTATTCGCGACAATTTCACTTCAACGTTTTGGAAAATATTTTAACATCGTGGAAGACACGTTTCTGTCGAACTTCTCGTAAATTTCATTCCTTTTATTTTTCTAATTTTGAAAGTATAAAAAAACGAAAGCTAGTTTTTAGTTTTTAGTAAATTTTTAAGAATCCAATTACTTTCTAAGGAATCTTCAGGGAAATTTTATTTTTCTGTATTATTCCGTATTTCATATGTATTTTACACTGGGATACGATAATTGCGAAGGAAACGTTGAAACACCAAGAGCTTCTTGCTTCAAAAAATTTTATATACAAGGTTTCCAGCAAAACCTCCATCTGTGATGATATTAATGACTATAGTACCGTCTTCTTGCTTCCAAATTGACCGTAAAATCGTCGATTTTCGCTCGTTGGTTTAAATGGCGAATTAGGTTGCACCTCGATCTTCGAGTGCTTCTTTTCTTAGGCTCGTGCGATTTCGAGGGCCTCTGGATGACTCGAAATACCGATGATCTTCGCAAATGGATCGTTTAACGCCTCATCGAATCACTTGGAGTACCCTGATAGGGTTGGCTACGTCAGCGTGCACAAGGGGTGGCCTGTTCTCTCGATATATGTACAAATACTGCATTTACGTAACGTTCATCGCGAAAATTATGGGAAACAGATGGCAAAAAGTCGTGAGAAAGTAGCTTGGAATAAGAATCAGATGCAGCGATAATTTATGGAGATTATCGCAAGCAGATGGAATAAAATCAGGCTGTTTCTATGAATTTTGTTTAACCCTTTGCACCAGAGAAGTATCTTTCAGTTGCCACTTGTTTTAGTGCTAAAATAATTAACTTAAATTGACACATATAATAAATAAGAGGCGATAATTATATTAACAATAGCTACAGGTGAAATATTCAAATAAAATGATTCCACTCATTCATTTCTCATGCAAATACGCGACAGTGTCTATTTTTATTTTAGCATAAAAGGTATCAGCAAGTTTATAAAAATATAAGAAAAGCTTCGAATAGCTGTTTCTTTGCAACGAAAAATTCTTCGCGTACAAAGGGTTATTGGTTTCACGCATTTATTTCCAGAGGTATAAATTTCAAGAAAAAATACAAAGAGAAATATCAGTTGCAAATACGCGACTTCCTATTTTTATTTTAGCATAAAAGGTGTCAGTGAGCTTATAAAAATATAAGAAAAGCTTCGAATTGTTGTTTCTCTGCAACGAAAAATTCTTCGAGTACAAAGGGTTTGATAGTTTCACGAATTTATTTCCAGAGGTATAAATTTCAAGAAAAAATATAAAGAGAAATATCAGTTTCTTTAACTCTGATTAGTAGAACATTTAATCTGGAATTTCCTCTTTTATGTAAATAAGAAAGTAGGTCTTGGAATGAACTTTAATCGGATTATTCCTGAAGGATCGATTCTTTAGACGAATTCTTTCTTCCATTTTCCATTTCTTGGTTTCGTTTTAAGCTCGTTTCTGGCTGGAAAATAATTTTCATCGCGTATTCTGTAACTATCCCCGAGTCTCTTATTTATTCGAACGCCCGATTGAATCATGGCGGCATGTTTCATCGCGTTTCAGTGGTAGCAAGACGATATTGATCCCACAATGGCCCTAGTTCCAATCGAACGTTCCTCGAAGTTACGTGTCCTGGCATTGGCAACATTTTCCTTGTCCAGAAAATGTGCTAACTTTCAGGCCATTCTAAATAGAGCAAAGCTTCGATTATATCTCAATTTCCGGGTCGAGAATAATGGGGCTGCAGAAATATGGCGGACCGTTCTCCCTTCAGCTCCACGAGAAATACGTGAGTTGGATAATATTTTGCAGCCATGGTATAGTTGCTTTTGCCACCTAGTATTTCGTAGAACATGATTTATAATTATTTCCGTATTCTTTTATTTTTTTGGAAATATTATTCTGAGCTTTGTTCAATTTTTATTCTCTTTTACGTTATCTTTTATTTGTATTGTTAGATGAATTTATAGGGGGGATTAGATAAATGTTTCCGCTGTGGTAATGTTCGTGTATCTTGATAATTTATGGAAGAAGAGACTGCCTGATTTATTTTATGCGTGAAATATTTTGATAGTTTACTTTGATTTATATCGTTTCGTAATTGGAGCTTCTCGTGTTTCTTAATTTCCATTTTGAACTTGATCCAGGGCTCAAGGATCTATGCATTAATTAGTATCAATTAATAGTATTTAACGTTTCGAAGAATCTTCAGATTACTCTGCGAATATCACTAAATTTATATAATAAAGGAACTAGAAGATTACTAGAATATTAACTCGCTATATTCAAATTTCAAAGAATTTCAAAATTAATCTAGTAATTAAATTCATCGATTTGTACAAATTTTGGAACCAGTCAAAATTTGTCTATCTACGGAAATAAATTCGAGGGACACAGAATTTTCCAAGCAGCTTTTCATAGAAAGGCAACTATACCTAAATAAACAATTGTCTAAAATTCACCGAGAAAAATGGAAGAAGCACCTGGAAAAATGCTGCTGGTCAATTGGAATCACAGCAAAGTGTGGAAAAACGAAGACGAAAGGAAGAGACGGTGTACGTGAATGCCTCAATCATGTCACGATTCGATGGCGCGCTGCGATAGGCCGTGGGGTGTTATCCTCTAAGCTCAATGGGCAGATTAAGCTCAATTTGAAACGCGACTCTGGTTTTCTAGTGTAGCCAGCGTGTGACGCTAGTTGAATCGTCGACGTCGACGACGACTGCGATCTGTCGGTCCATCTATTCCTGGCAGTATGCTGCTCGCCTTCGTCAGGCTCTAGCTGACGAGCCATCGCGGTGATCCTGACCGACCACTTCCGTTCCGAGTTGCCACCACGGAAATCCTGGTATCCCTCATCGAGCAGTGTCACGTCGAATTGTCAAAGCCTCGGCAGACATTTCCCGACCCTCGAACTGGTGAAAATTCGTACGAAGAATGAGCCAAGATAGAGTGAAGTGGATTCGTAGTGTCAGTGCGTGGAGGAGAACTTTGAAACGAAATTCCTCGTCTGTTTGCCTTTGAACAGTTTTCACTGAGAGGGGTCCTAATGGGATTATCGCTAGACAATCGTTCGAAAAGCGCGATGGTAGGTGATCATATCGATTTGTCAAGTGACAGAGAATTGGGTATGGAAAGTTGACAGGATTCGCGGGTTCGAGGTGTGGTGACCGTGGTCCCTGCTAGAGGGGATGAGCTGGTATTGTGTAGTAATTAGCTGCCCGACAATCTCATTTGTCGGCGATTAAGGCGCAAAAGCTCGCTCATCGAAAAGTCGGAGCAGTCATAAAAATAAATCAAACGAAGCGGGATAACTGGGTTGGGCAATCTTTCTCTGTACTGTGTCTTCAAAAACTGGCAAAATGTCAGCGGCACAGTTTCACTCTGTAGCTAAATGTTTGTTAAAAAATTTCGAGACACGAGGCTCGTCTAGTTCCATTCTTCACCGATGAAGGGATTTTTGAAAATTGGTGACGAGTGTGCGATTTGGTGAAGGGAGTGGGAGATGGCTGTCTTCGAGGAAATTTAATTTAATCTTTGGAAACTGATCGAGAAATTTTCGAGAGAGAAAGTTGAGTCAATATTTAAATTTATGGTGAGTACCAAAGAATGATGATGATTCATCGAGTCGATATAAAATCTTTGAACGAGTAGTGAAAGATCCAATAGATATAGACCAAGTTTCAGCTGAAACGATTTTACAAGCTCCGCGAATTAAATTCCTCGAACCTGCAAAAATTAATATTCCTTTACATTCATCGAACTATAATTTCCTTAAATTTCGAACAATACTGATACCAAGAATCCAAAGTCTCATATACTCGAATTAAAATCTAGTATCAATTCAAATTATAGATAGCCTTTTTCAAGATTCTGTTAATTTACTTTGATTCTCACTTTGATTGCCTAATTGATGACTTCTTTGATTACTTAACTGTTTCCAAAGATTAAAAAATTGAAGAAGGAAGGAAAATTCGCTAAAGCTGCAATCTCTGAAACGACGATGACATGTCTCATCCGTGCATAGCAACAAAAGGTATTCGCGTGGCTGCGAAACGAACGTTCGCGTTTCCCAAATTAATTGTCGTTCCCGCATGCAAAATAAATCCGTCTGGACGAGTAGGCGGAACGAACTTAGACGAAATTGCATAATGCCCGGCGAAAATCGCGGCCCGACGACGAAGGAACGACGGAATCGTCAGCGTCGTCGGCCATCTACGCGTGCCTCCTCGGTCAATGAGCTAATTGCCGTGGTATATCAATTTTCATTGGGCGCAATTGCGCGAGCATACAAATACGCATTGTGGTTGCACTTGTCCCGTGGGTCGCTTCAAACAGGATATGGCATAGTTTCCCTTTGTGCAGATTCATTGTCTTCTTTTCGCGTTTTCCATTGGCCCCGCGGTTAAACGGACGGCCAATGCGTCGCTGGGCCCTGGACATTTAAATTGGCGACACTAGCGCCAACGGAATAGTGAAATGGGACAAAAGAAATGCGAGAATCGCACGCGAATATCGTTTAACAAGCACTGAAACGATTTGGAAGGTCAGCAAAATAAAAGCCACGAGAAATGGTTCTTCCTCTGTGTCCAATTGCCATTGTGCTGTCATCCTGACTTCCTGGTTGCCTGTCATAATTTCTAGTGGGATTTTTCGGTCTTCAACGACTGTTTCAAAAAATTTGAGATCCTCGCGTCGTGAGAATATTCTGAGTCTCGTGTTTGAATGATATGATAGAAGAGACATAGTTGGATTGACCAGACACACTGTGACAGGAAGTAGAGAGGCTAAATGTCTCTGGGTTATCAGTTGTTTTCAGCTAGATATTGGGGATGAGAAACGCACTACATGCGTACCAGAGTATTGTTGTCTATTTATATCGAAGGCTGTCAAGTTTCTGTATCTAAGTATACCTCGAGATAAGTCCATACTACTCCAGCCTATGTGTCCATCCAATTATTGTATCAGCCAAGTGCCAAAATCGAACAATCAGATCGACGAACGCGTACGTGACAATTATCAGGATGATCGCATCAAACTGGTACAGCGACGAGTAAATGATTCATTATTTATTTTCGGTGCAATACCCTCGATAGGTAGCCTCAGACTCCTCACCTTAGACCCCGGACCGGGCCAGAACATCGAGAGCCTAGGCTAGAGAATAACCAATAACCAAGTTAGACTATCCTCTCTTCTCGAGACTCTATCAGGCCAATAGGGCCAATGTTAGGCGAATCGCAAAACGCGTACAAATAAATGGAATCTCATTGTCAGAGTCAATTGCTCTTGGCAACCATTAGTCCTCGGCGATGCTAAAGGCTATGGCCCAGTTTTCGCGTTTCCCAGTGACCCGCTGATCCAAACTGATTTTCCATCTCCCGTTCTCGCGTGTTCCTCTGATCTCGCGGTGTCTGGCCAGCTTCGAAGAAGCTCCAGTTAGTCGAAGATCGTGACAGAGTCTAGGGTCCATTTGTCTTCCTCATCCTCGGACGAGCGAAGTAGTGTCTGGATGACAGGGAAGAGCTTCGTGCTCTCGGGATGAACGATTTTTCAGCAGCCAGCAACGAAGAAACAACTATTTCTGTCAGTCCTCCACGCGTTCCCGACGTTCCTTTCGAGAGGTCGATCGGATGGAACGCGCTAAAAAAAGAGCAACCTTAGAAATTTGCCTGGTACACGAAGACAGGACGAACGATTTACAACTGACGGTTACGCAACGAGCGAACTAGAAAAATGTGGGATATAGGTGTCGCAATGGAGGCAACTTCGAGTTATCGGATTGTCTGGCAGTGGTCTATCGGGGATTAAATATAAATCGGACAGGGAGTTTTTCGTGTTGAATTGTTAAGCATCAGGGGTTCTAAAAATATGGAACAGTCTGCTGGGACAGCTGCCTCGTGCGAAATTAGGAAAACACGAGTGGGATTGTGGAAGACGTTTCTCTATAAGTAATGCGTTCGATTGGACTGGTTATTCGATATGTGGTCTATCGAAGATTAAACAGATGGCCTATTGAAGATTAAATATGAAGTAGCGTGGAAGCTTCCGATATTGAACTTTTAAATATTCAACGATCGGCACAGTTACTGGGAATTGAATTAGGTACAACCTTTATTGAAATTTATTACTTATTGACACATTCAATACTGAATCCCTCTTATCTGCACGCACAAATATCAAATTATTTTTTGCAAATGGAGAAGCATTCGTAATCCCGTTCTTCAATGTATGCGATATTAAATGTCAATTAGGTTTGACGATTGGACTATTTACTTGACAGAGAACGTTAATACAGAATGAACCTCTATCCTCCAAATAGCAAAACGCTGTCATAACTAGCTCTTTCGTGAACAAATTAATTAAACGAACGCAATTACGTCAACGGAATGAATTAGGCCAATGTCACGAGAAACGTCTAAAACTACATCCATAAATTTCAGCATTGGTAACAAAATTAGTTCCACCCTCGATTCAGCTATCCCCGATCAGCTGATACCCAAATTTATCATTTTCATTTTGAGATTCCCAAAGCGAGATCATGAGTCCCAATTTTATCTAAATCCATTTGCGGTAGGATTGATCGATTAGGCCGTTTCCGAAATTGCTGATACTGCATTATCTATATCTCACGATCGTCGAGCCACCAAATCATCGTAAAACCCAAGCAAGCCTTAGTCAACGTCGACAAAGTTCGACAGCCAAGTTCGACTACGCGTTCCTCTTCGATTATGCATACACATGGCCGAATAAATGCGCGTAGCAACGATAACAAAGGTCGCGGTCGCCGAAGTTCATCATTGGCCGACAAAGCGCGAGTACACGCTACGATTCTCGCTTTTTAGAGCAGTCCAATAGTCGTCGCGTGTGCAGCGTGTTCGTAACTTGGCCGGGTCCCAAACTCTCTCGGTTCTCGTCGGACATCGCACCAATCGACGACTCGACTAATTCCTCGATCAAACATCCTACATCCCTTTTGATCGTCGAATAGATCACGGAGGTTCCCGTAACGCGTCTTTGTTCCAATCAGAAGACGAAAGTGTGGCGAAGAGGAAGCTAGGTCTCGACGGAGTGACAGTGCATAAACTCGATCGCTGTTGGCCGACAGTTTCTGCCGGTTCTTACGAAATCGCGTTTCGAAATCGGTTTAGAAAGAAGCCTTGACAGTCAAGTCGTCGCCATGAATGAAAGATTTTCCTCGAACAGGCCGGTGCTCGGAAAACTCGCAGGGATGGACGTTGGCAGTGGATGTTGAGTGTATGCAAGTGTATCATGTCGCGATACTTGCCTTGACAGTCAAGTCGTCGCCATGAATGAAAGATTTTCCTCGAACAGGCCGGTGCTCGGAAAGCTCGCAGGGATGGACGTTGGCAGTGGATGTTGAGTGTATGCAAGCGTATCATGTCGCGATACTCGTTCTATGTTCCCAACGGAAGTGATCGTGGGGTGCAGTTCGTCGATAGGAGAGAAACGTTGTTGTGAATCGAAAATGGTGAGCACCAACCCGTACCTAGGGGTGGCCACCCTGAACAGGGGTAGGAACACCTTCCGCGGGGTGCCCAAAGCGGAAATCGAGCGAAGGACTAATACTCTGCTCCAGGCTATGACGGTGAGTGCCGATTTCTGCCGCCATTGTTTATCAAAATATCCAATTTTTAAATTCTCTAGCGATCGGTGCATGCTAGAGGTCCTAGAGGGACATTTTAATGCTTTATTTGCTGATATTTCTGTAACTAAGAGACCTTTGCTATTTATTGTAGAATAAGCGCGAGAAGAATAACTATATTAGCAATAAATTACTTATATTGAAATGATTTTAACTAAAATTAAAAAGATTTGCAGCTTCCATAACGTAATTCACCCTAGAAAGATTAACGATTCCACCATTTGTTAACATAATCTAATCTTATCCACTGAGCACATATAAAATTGCGTGTACTCGTGTTTTATAAAATACGAATTGTTTGGATTGCAATTTTGATCTCGATGAAAAATAAAAACTTTTCTTAAAAAATTTGGAAACTTTCGATGAGTTTTCTCATATAAATCAGCCCCTAAGGGGTTAAATGTTCCGCCATTTGCTAAATCGGTCAACTCTACAAATCGAACGTTAAAAAATTATTCCAAGCGAATAAAATTAAAAAGATATTCAGATCGTGTATTTAATAATTTTTGACACTTTCGATCACTTAAATATAAGATCGATGTATCACTGGAAATTTTACTAGTCGCGCGGTATAATATTCAATAAAAGTTTCGCGATTTTTATTTTCGCAACGTTAAACTTTGCACTTCGCTGGATATATCTGAGTTTCATTTGATTGATCTTCGTTCATCGAGACAGCCGAGTGGATATCTAGTTTACTGTTTGAAAAGATAACATAGAGGTCTTAGTCTCTCGAGCAGCTAAGCCGCGTAGATAAAGAGTCTCGGAACTCGCTCGTGGCCTATTGTTCAAACAATGTCTGAATATTTGGTGGAGCCAGAGTGGAAGTAAACAAAATTATCCACACAATGGGTATCGGTTCGCTGCCAATCGTTCACACGGTCGTGTCATGCGTTAATACTTTGCTCGAACTTTGAACCATGAGTGTCGTGGCTCGGTCGAGACGCTTGTAGCAGACGAATTGCAGCTAAAATCCTCTCGCGTGCCCCTTATCAGCACGTCTTGTGACCGGCAGATGCTACTGACGTAAAAGGTCTGCGTTCTGCTTCTGAATAATTCAATTACAATCGTTTAAATGCCTATGATTCGTTGGAAACCTAGCCTAATGGCTAGATAACCTAACCTAAATTCCTCCTATGCTATAATGTTTCCAGGACTTAACGGTTAGGCGATATTTCTAAAATCCTTGACAGAAAATTCGACAGAAACGTGTCTTTCTTAATTCCCACTCGAATATCAGGTTCTTCGAAATTGATATTCGAGAGTCGAGAGTTAGAGACGTTAAATTAGGCTGAGAAATTTCGTGTGATCCTCTAGATCGAGGAGCTGTACGCTGCTCTCGTCTTCATGACCCAACACCAGATCGGCTACGACGTTTCTAACGAATGTGGCTTGGAGACTCTGTTGAATCACCTTCAGAATGCGTTCAAAGTGGACAACGAGATGCACGAGAGGGTGCTGGATGAGACGAGAAACATGGAGGTGAGAATTTCGGCATTTAAATCCTTTGTGCTACACTAGCGCCACTGCGGGGCCGCGGGTAATCCATAATTCATTCTCTACGCTTCAAGCCACCGAATAAATAAACTGATAGAGATTTCTAAAATTTCACATTCCATTTTCAAAATGAAATTCTTGGTTCTGAAATACCTCGTGTCGTAAAAATATCCTCGAGAAAATCGTATAGAGTGCAAAGAATGTGGATACGCGAAGGTGTATAAATTTTTCTGTCGAATTACGAGCTTGGAGATTACGTGTTTGTAATTCGCTTAGCCGCCAGAAATGCACTTAAACGTCGAGGTGATAGAGGCTAAGGAGCTCGTGTCGAAAGACTCCAATGGCAAGAGCGATCCTTTCTGCGCCCTCTACCTCGAGTCTGCCCCTACGAGGAGGTACAGCACTGCCGTAAAAACGTCCACGCTGAGCCCCGTGTGGGAGGAACATTTCGAACTGTGAGTTGAAAAACGCGCGTTTACTTAAATCTGTCAAGAATCACTTGTTCCTGTTTAAACTCGCAGCGGTTAGTCGAGTTGAAATAACTTCGGTCTGATTTCTTCCAGCCCCCTGGAGGATCCAGAAAATGATGTACTCTTCTTAGAAGTGTGGTAAGTTTAAAAAGGAGACGTCTTATTTAGTGACTTCGTGTTTGAACAAAGCGATTGAATGTCTCCTTTCCATTTCTAATTTAAGGGATTTCGATGCTGCCGAAACTGTTCCTGAGAAGATGAGTAAAGTTAAGGACGTGAAGGGTGTTCGAGGACTGGTGAAACTTGCCAAAGAGATTGCGGTTACTGCCACGACTGGTAGCCATGATAACGAATTCATTGGTCGCTGTAGAATACCTCTCAAGGTACTGACATAACGTACAGATTAAATGAATGACATAACGTAGAGGTTAGACGAATGAATTAAACGAATGTAAAGATTGAAATGAAGTAATATTTGCGATATTTCTAGGACAGTTTATTAGCAATTAGGTCAACATTTTGTCCAATTTTAGGACATACCAACGACAGGCCATACGATGTGGTACGGCCTCGAGAAGAAGAATAAAACGAAGCGGCGTGGCGTGGTGAAACTGAGACTAGCCTTCAGCGCGGAGCACAACGCACAGGTGGCTAGCCAGGAGTACAGACACCTGATCAGGGTGCTATTGTTGTACGAAATAGAGACGGGGAAGATAGAGAAATACTGCTGGTCTGGTCGATGGTCAGCGCCAGCCGAGGTTCTCCTTCTTCAGCACAGCGCCCAAAGAGGATTACTGAACAGAAATATCGTGCTGGCCCAATGGATAGAGTACGCCAGGATCCACCAGGAACATCCACTAAACTTCACTGTGTTCAATAAATTAATAGTCGATCTTCTCAAGCCCATGGAGGGTGGTCTTTTCTCCGTGGATGAGAACAGACTCTTCTGGGACGCCACGAAGAAGTTGTTATACTCGTGCCTGAACAGTATTCGCAAGATCAGGAGGCTCAATGTTGCAGACAAGAACACTTCGGCCCAGTTGTCTGCCATTTTAGGGTAATTATCAGAGCGTCGCTTAATTTTAAACGTCAGCAACCAAGAAGACCAACCAGAGTAGACACCTCTGAGAAGTTTATATTCGGGATTCTGAAGGTGAATTTTATTTTGTATCAGAATACTGTCGTCCATTTCATTCCTCAAAATACCCGAGGATGTGAACCTGTTCCCTGCCAAGATGTACCCCTGGTTCCCCGACCCAGATGAGAAGCTGAGTGTTCTTCAGGCTTTGGAGTACACGGTTGAGCAAGGTGGTGTCGAATGGTGAGCCGAGATTTGGATAATTTTGAGAGCAGCTTCCAAGGAATATTTAGATAGTGAACAATGTTATTTCGCTATACTAGGTTCGATCATATAGTGAAGAACAATGCTCCAGAAACCGAGTCTGACGAAGATGCGTTGAAGTACCATATTAAAGTGATTCAACTTGTCAGGGTGGATTTACAAAATGCCATTGACAATTTCGATAAGAAGTTTATCAAGTAAGAGTTCGCGATATTTTAGAGATGATTCAAGAATCTCGTAAGTGGGCTTTGAAAATAATTTTGTTAATAATTTGGTTGTAATTACAGACGAGTCAATTTTCCCTATGCGAGATGTCTATATGTGATGTACGAGAAAAGGATCAGCGACATGTGCATGATTATTATAGAGGATGTTTGTGGTAGATTGAAGAGGATCGATATTGGAAACACCGATGTTGAACTGAATCTAGGAACAACTTTGTTCGAGTTGTATCTTGCCTTACAGAGATACGCTATGTGAGTATAATTTTGAGGAAAGATAATATCGAATAATTAATTAACTTGAACCCGTCGAAAGAAAATTATAGCAAAAATGAAAATAGTATCTTTTTTAAAAGAATTAAAAATTTCGAATTAATTCAGGAATCAATTTCTCGATAGATTTAAAAGATTTCTTAAATTTTGAGAAGATATTCGACGATAATTATGAAAAATTAACTTCTGTAGGCTCGGTCAAGTACTCTGTGCCGAGGGGGAGCTCGAAAGGATGAAGGTGCAGAATTACTACGACTGGTTCAGAGGTGGCGTTGCACACTGGCTCGATATAGCAGTATACAAAGCCCTGAAGCGAATTGACAGAGCTGTAGAGTTCGATACCTTGGAAGCAGTCGATAACACGGTTCAATACAGCTCCAGTGCCGTGGACACATTGACGATATTCTATCAAATCAAAGTATTTTGGACACAACTAGCTTGGCCAGACGTTGAAGGCTCTTACACTTTCATCGCCAAGATCATTGACGTAAATATCACCCGCTATCTCTGAAAGACTTTTACAAACTTAAGGGTGTAATTCTACGTCAAAAAACAAGTCGAAAACGTAGAATAAAATTTTTTCATACGAGGCTTAGTTTTCGAGGAAATCGTGCTTAAACATGTGAGGGGCAAGGGCGCCTAATTATGCTCCATTTATGAGATGTCGCTGCAGACTAATATCCCAGCTAGTGATCATATTTATAAATATTCCCACTAAAACGAATCTTTCCGTCAGTTCCATTATCTTATTTTTCTCGACACAAACATTCAGCATACATCAATCCGCAAACATGGCTACGCATAGCAACCGCCAAGCCACAAATATTTACAATCGATTATCTCAAAGATATGGCCTCGTATGAGAAAATGTTAAACCACCTTTTAGACTTGCTTTTTCACGTAGATTCGTTTCCTCTGTGATTTTACCACCGATCGTAGGAAATTTAATATAATCCATTGTTATTTTCAGGACATCTGCAAATGCTCAATTGCGTATGCGGACAAAATGGCGAAGAAGGCAGAACTGACCACGGAATTGGAACAACTGTCAGAGAGCAGCGTGTACGAGAAAAAGTTCCTAGTTTCGACTGCATGGTGTTTCGCGATCAATAATATCGATTACATCAGAACGTCGATCGAACCGCTAGCCAACGATTTGGGTCTCCAAAGCATCGTGGACATTCTGGCAGAGAAGAAAACGCAAGAAGAGGCCGACAGGTGTCAGCAGACGCTACAATTGATCATCCTCAACGCCACTGATACCGTGAGAAACAAGATTCTAGAACTGTTGCAGGTCGTCGCGGATAAAATGTCCCCAGCTATGAACAGGTACCTATCCTAACCTTCGAACATTTATGTGATTAATTATAAATTATCTAATAATCTGTACATTTACAAAGGTACCTCCTGGAAGGTGCAGAGTTGATAGACACGACCAGTAATTCCATGGATCGACTTTTACAATATCTGGAGAGTAATTTAACCACGTTGCACGACAATCTTAACGAGGACAACTTCGAAAGGATCCTTCTCGTGATTTGGGACCTAATATCAGAAAACTTGTACCAACTGGTGCACAGTAACTTGGAGGTACATAGAAGAAGATTTTTCATCTTGTAATAGTCACGACAAAATTGTTATCTTTGCTTGAATAGTCAAGAGACAAATGAGTGCCAGCTAAAATTCTCACGTTACAGAAAAGGAGGCCACCGTCGTTCTATTCCAACCTTCATCGTACTCTAGACACCCTCGTTCAATATTTCAACATTGGAGCAGACGATGCCACGAATGTGAAGGTTTTGGAGAAAATTGAACACCTTTTGGAGCTTCATGGTCTGGAGACAGCTGAACTGATACATCGTTACCATCAGGAGAGAATAAAGGAGCAGAACGAGTTGGAAGATTCCGAATACGGACAGATCACTGTCAAGGCGCAGTTCTTGGATAATTCTTTGAACATTCAGATACTGAACGCGAGGAAACTACGACCGGTTGACAGCAATGGTAAGGGAACTAAAGTTGAGAATATTTTTATTAATTTTTGGGTTACGAAATTCTAACTTAGAGGTCGCATGATTGCTGGAAACGCAATTATAGGTGATAGATAATTTTTGTTATCCTGTATGGGTGTTTCTGACAAAGTAGAAAATTAAATTATTTTCTTCCGAAGAATTTCGTAAAAGCTCTTGTAAAATTTTTCAAAAGCCAGTAATAACATTCCTGGTATATTAAGTATTCTGAAAATTTTTCTTTACGAAGCAATCTTTGTACAAGAATCACCCAATACATTTTATTAACGATTAAAGAGAAACGAAATTGCACACGCAGATAGACGAAACGCAGAAGTCCATTTTCAACGCAAATTGAATGAAAAGTTTCATTTCGTAGCCCCTTAACGTTGTTCCGTTTGCCTGTTTCGCAATAATCGACAACGGGAATGAGCGGGTGGCTCGCGACAAGAAAAATGACATTTTCTTTCGATTTTGTAGGCGAATTGGTAGGCAGGGTGTCCACTCTCAAGCGCAAGCTTCATACAAAATCTAAACAAAGACTGAAAGAATGGAAGACAAGTATGTAAATGTGGATGTCAAACCAAAGAAAAAGAAAAACACGCTCTCCCTCATCACTGTCTCAATTTAGAATCTCTTCAGTTGCCTGCCCTCGTGATAATTAGACTCTCAAATATGCATGAACACGGCCGACCAAACTGCTACATTACATTATTCGTTACTGTGTATCCGTAGCTAGAGAATGTACGAATACCTTAGTGTATCGAACAATTTTCCTGACGTAGAAATATGTATTTGATCGCGAATGATAAAAATCTCTATGAGGTTCCAAATTGGTTCAGATAAAAATTATTAAACAAATGTTTCATTATCGTAAAATGTGTATGTCGCTTAATTATGTGTCGAATATTATCGAAAACTGTGGAACCTCGTAGATAGATGATCCATCGAGTATAAAAATTGTCACCTTCACCGTGCATGAGCCCATACTGGGGTGTTATTGGTGTGCCGAAAGAACAACGCGAAAGTATATCCTTCTACTTTCCAGGTAGCTGCGATTCGTATGTGAAGGTGAGGCTACTTCCGGAAGAAAAGTTTACCGACGTGAAACTGCCTAAAACACACGTGCAAAAGGAGAACTTGTATCCGCTGTATGACGAAATCTTCAACATGTAAGTATGACCACTTTCCTGCGTCCAATAATCGAGGAAACAGGCTATAAGAAACTACAATTACAATATAGAGGACAGAATTAAACCGGAGATGATTCTACGGGCAAAAATAGACTAAAAGGAAAGAATAAAATTTTTCGATTCGAGGCTTCGTTTCAAGTTAAATCGAGCTCGAAGATTCACCGAGCGCGTGTGCAGTCAGCTGACTGCGACTGCGCGTGTACAGTCAGCTGACTGCGACTGCGCATGTCCAATATGGCTGCCGCTGTGGTATCGGCCGCTCATATTTCAAACCCCGATTTTCTCGAATAAGGGGCCTTAAACAAAGAAACTTTATTTCACATTTTCGATGTATTTTTAAACGTAGAACAATTTCCTAGTATAATATAGTACTCATTCGAAGATTTACTATGTACGAATATGAATTTTAAGTAAGATCGTCGTCTCGAGTATTACGAATACTTTCAGTCCTCTAACGAGCGAACAAAGGGCCACAGAAAATGCGATCATAGCCTTCGAATTGAAAGACAAAGACTTTCTTCGATCGAGATTCATGGCAGAAGCTTTTCTGCCGTTCAGCGAAGTTCCTGAAACGAGACCAGATCAAAGAATCGAGTCTCTCGACCAAATTCACTTGAAGCTATCACGTCCGACGAGGAAAAGTAGGTTTTATTTACTCTTCCTCTAATCACGACTAACCAATTGTCCTTATCTAATCTGTCATTATCTCTCGTCTTTTTATTGCTCCTTTATACTCAGGTACGGACATAATCCAGGCACTGGAACACAGGAAGGGAGACAACCAGGCGACAGAGTTCTTATCCAAGCTCAGTTCTAAAGCTGAACGAAAATAATCGTTATCATTCGCCGGAAAAGCGACTGAATTTGTTAACTACGTCATGCGACAGCGAAACAACGTTCTGCGTATCGAACGTGGGTGCTATCGAGGATAAAAACCACGATATTGTTAATTTATATCGTTCACGCGATTAACTTGATAAGTCATTAGACTTTTTCAATTACGAGTGTTCTACAACGAACTATTTTTGCAATTAATTTATCAGCAGCTATTTTACAGCTCGAACCACGTAACACGCATTTCATGAAATTTTTCATCGCACACACAAAGTCACTCGAAATGTTTTTCGCTATTTCGAGAATCGCATTATGGATTACAAAATTTGTAAGTCGATTCGATTAATCTTTCACGAGTCGACGTGCTCTTCCATAACGAATCGGTTCAACCTCAAGAAAGGGAGTGCATGAAAGGCATCGTTGAATAATAGACTATTTTTTATAAAATTTTCACGAGTACGTTGTTTTTAACGACTAGAACCCGTTTCCAGGCTGTGTATCGCTTCGAGTGTAGAAAATGGAATACTTTTCCCTCGTGAAACACGAGACGTCACACTTCGGGACTAGAAAGACTCTAAGGCTGAGTAAGTACTACTTACGAGCGATCTAGGTATTTATCGTTAAGCCGGTACACGTCGCTGCAATAAGTATGGAAAAAATTTCCGTACGCGATGAAAATAGGAAATCAAGAGGTGAAATCAAAGTCAACTTTGTAACATACCTGTACATATAAATGCAACTATGAATCGAACGCGTCGCACGTTTTATACGTTAAAGTGTATGTCTTATCTAGTATTACCGCGCCATCTATGTTGGATCGTTCGATCAAAATAAAATCGCTCTTATCGAGAATTCTGCTCCATGTTTGCTAAGTGAAATACATATCGCGACCTTCAATAGAATACGCTATAAAATTAAGAAAATCGAGCAAAGTTTTCTAACCTCTAAAAAGAAACAGAAATGTATTTTACCTACAGAAGACAAATAATCCTATTCTAATTACCATCTATATTTGTACGCGAGCCAAGCTCGAAGTTACGAAATGTAACAAACGACGAATAAATTATTCACAGATACGAACACACGAGAATTATTACCGCTGCTTAAAAATTCCATAATTCCCGATTAATTCGCCGGCTTGTAACAAGTTATTATTAGATTCATCCGTTATTTATGAACAGCATTCCATACCGTGCACGCAGTTAATGTTTGCCCATTCCTCGTCCCTGTCTGCACGGAATGCGTTCTGTTTAAAATTGCACGAGCTTTATTCCGTTCGCGTGTATGCAGTACGACGCTGTTAGAATCAATGATGTCTGGACTGCGTCTCCGAAAATGGTGGAATTTTATCGTGGCGTGATCTGCAGGGACCTACTGTAACTACCGTTGCTCGCGCAGACCTAGGTGACTGCAGACAACTCATCGATGCAGTTCCGATCGCAATCTTTCCCATTCTGTCCACATTCCTCTACATTTCTTCGTGCAATCCAGTTTAAAATTGGAAAACATTGCAACTTTCATCTTCATTTCATTGGTCATAAAGTTTTACCCGGTTAAAATATAAAAATGACATGTTTATTCGAATCGTTATTGACAACGAATAGGTTATGACGAAGCAGTTGCTTACATTTTCGATCGATTTGGACGACAATTGTATTCAAGATCGAGACTCGAAAATGATCTATCGTGAATAGATCACAATTTTCTTTCGATACATAACCCAGTGTTTTATCATACCACTTCGTGACCACGTTACCGATACTGTCGCAGTCGTAGAAGTAGGCTAGTGCGTCATCGACTGTGGCTGGAAGAGGGAGCTGGAAGATCGAAAACGAACTTTGCACGGATAGATCGTTCTTTTCCTCGGTTAATCTGAATTTTATCTTTTGCAATTGTTCCCTCGAACGTGATATCGACACGCACAGTGAACGGTGTTTCTATTTATACGATTGGAAAGGGCAGACCGAATATTCCTTTCGAATTACCTAACCTTACCTTAGCCTAACCTTAGTACCCGGAAATGTCAATGGGTCTTTCTTCGCTGCACCTGTTACACGTGCTTGACAACGAATTTTGCGAGTCGTTATACCTCATCGATGACCATCGGATACGTCACATTTTCGCGTGGAGAACACACCGAAAACCGAAGGTTGCGTGGCGAACTGGTGTAACTCGGATTACTTAATAGACTCTGTTTCGTAACACGTTATCTCGTTATCGTGGCCCTTTGGGCTGATGATTCAGTGGCGTGCAGAAAGTCATCTACGCAGCGCCACAGGTGCACGCAATGCGAACTAATCTGGCAATTTTCTACTATGGCGCCATTTTTTCCCCCCGAGCCCTTTCATCCTTGAACAAAACGACGCGCAAGGACGTGGAACACGGGAAAACGAAAAAGAAGACGCGGAAACTTGCGTCCAATCGGGTAGCCGGGAAAAATTGATACGCCGATTAATGCGAAATTCCGTAAAAGAGGAACGTGTAACGACGGTAAGTAGCGAGGTACGGGCACACGTTAATGGAAGCAAAATGAGGTTTGCCTTTGGCGTATTAATTAAAATACGCAAACAGAGGCTGCCTCATCCTCCTAACGATCGCGTCGATAGCATAGATACGGTGTCCTGCGGTCGTGGCCGCCATGCTGGATCCTCGTAATTGCGTATAATGAAATCTATGGCGTCGCTTTGGAGAAAAATCGGAAAGACTGTTTAAAATTCAAACGAATGCGGGCGGAATGCAAACAGCGCAATAACCAGCGCTCACTTTGCGATCGAGTTTCCCAAGTTTTATGCACGAAGCAACCATGGCTCTCCGCTTTTAATTGCCTTACAATTGATTTCGTATTACTCTGATTGAGTTCTCCCGCCCCCCCTCCCCCGCCCGCTGTTTCGCCCTTCCAACGATTACGTCGCGAAAGGAGCCCCTTCAAAAGTTGCGAAATTGAATGTCATTCGGCTTTATAGCCGAGCAAATTGCGCGAATAATAAAATTTCCCGCGGGAAAAGGGACCGGCCCGTGGAATTACAGGTCGACGTGCAGGTACGTGCAAACTTCGGTCTTTGAGAACCCCGTGGCACGGAATTAAATAGCCTCCTAGATCTTCCGAGAGGCAATACCCTGTCAATACCGGGATAATGACAAGGAGTTCCCTATCGAATATTAACGTCTTGACTGTCATAGTGGCCATCAATGACTGGCGATTATCTCCTCGGTGGCACCATGGAGGTCACCAGTGTCCAGCAATAATAATAATTTAAATTTATATTTGTTTTATTTTAACCATTCATTGACAATTTGAACAACGTAAATAAATAGAGAATTTTGAATAGAAGACATTAATAATTGGCACGATTTTTTCTTTTCCAATATTATTTGATAATTCATCATTATACCGTAAGAATACAATGGAAGCTTTGTCGTGCCCCCCTGAGGGTACCATATGTAAAGTGCGTGGCAGTCAAGGTGTTGATCAAATATTATATCGGGTAATCACGAGCAGACTCGAATGGCTAGAAGAAGCGTGGAAAGGGTACTTTATATTTCGTTATTAATAAATCGAGACGAGACACGGGGACGCGTTAACTTTCTGTCCCTGTCCATGACTCGGCGACGATGCACCGGATACTTTCTCGTCCCGATGTTTATTAAAATTTTCGGTGCACCGCCGGAGACGGAGGACCCTTTTTGTCATGCATAACCTCGCCTCGTGGCTCAAAGCGAAGCTTCTAAAAACGAAGATCGCGTGCCTCCGCGAAAAAGGAGGAAAAGAAGGGGGGAGGATGAAAGGGGGGAAGAAACGGGAGAAACGGGTTGCCACTTTCATGGAGGAGCCGCTTCCTGTAACGGGATGCGAAGTTTCGATGCGACAGAGTGTCCTTAACGAAACTTTCCGGTCGCCGGAGATAACCTCGGATTATTACGAAGAACTTTTCGGGGCGCAGACAGACACGGCTAGAGGAGACTATCTGTGGCGATCCATATTCATGCACCGAGTGTTTTCTCTAGAAATCACCACGCCATTACGATCCTCCGAAGCCAGTCGAGGTTCCACGAAAATATCCGCTCGATTATCGTCACGATCGTGTCGTCGAACGATTTTCAACGAGTGTTTTGTCAGGTGCCCGGCGATCGGCTCAGCCAGATAGAGAACCACGATTCGGAATGTGCTGCCGCCTTTCATCCGGTCGTTAGTCATCAATTTTTTCCCGCGATTGACAGTCGACAGTCGCTGGTCTCGCGCGTGTAACGGATCCAGTTATTTCGAGTGGCTTTTTTGCACGATCGATTGGAAATCTTGTACGTACACGCGTCGGGCCATTAGGTATTAGCCGGTACCACGGGGTCCCTCGATAAGAAACGGTTTATCGTGGACTTAACCCTTTCGCTACTGTGAGTGAGTATAGTCACCGGCAACGAGACGCCATCTATATAATACGATGGGTGACCACAAAAGTCGAGCGAGAAATTAAGTTCTACCTTCGTTCTACGAGAATTTAGCCTACATCCACGTGTGAGACTCGTGGTAGAGTTTTCGGATGGTGACCACAAAAGTCGAGCGAGAAATTAAGTTCTACCTTCGTTCTACGAGAATTTAGCCTACAACCACGTGTGAGACTCGTGGTAAAGTTTTCGGACCAAAACTGATTATCACGAGCCTGGCACGTGGTACGTCGATCAGGTCGAAACTGACTATCACGGGCCTGGCACGTGGTACGTAGGTCGGACCAAATATATACACCATGTGTCTCACCCATGATTTGTTGACGTGCCCCACTCCAAATAGCATAGTCCAGGCTAGTGGACTCCAAGTATCTCTATACAATATCTTCAAAAATAAAATTTCGTGTACGATTGGTATAACTTAAGACAAATTTACCGAGCCGAGGAATCGTTCAAAGGCTCGGTAATTCTTTTTACGTTTTGGAACCACGCTGTTGAATCTTAAATCGTAGGGCAAGGCGTTAATCACCGTCGTCGGTTCCGACGAGCTCGTTCGCCGAGTAGAATCCAGCGTCCGGAGATGATGAAACGAAGATTTATCGAGTTCCCAGCGACGACATTTTTCCAGGTAGCTCGCGATACGCGCAGATAAGTCGCGTACCCCGGCTACCTTCGGATCTGATACGGGGAACAATAATAAAGTATGTCAAGAACGTCGCGGTGCAATCTCTCGACGATGAACAATCTCTCGGGAAGACGCGATGAATCGCTGGGGAAAAAATTTGCATCCGCGAAACGAGAAGCCTCCGAACGCTACGGGCGGGGGTGGAATCTCTGTTATTTACACGCGTTTTGATTACCAGACGGTATTACATGCTAGCGTGCGCGTACGTAGAAACCGGGAGCACAAATATGAGACAATTAAGCAGCTAGAGACGCGCAGATAAACTCGTAATTACGGGCGAAGAAACGCGATAGCCGTAGAACAGACGTTTCCTCCGTACGCCTGTGTTTCTACTATTAGCCCGGAACAATTTAACGACGTTAAACAGAACTTTAGATAATGTTCCGTTTTGATGGATTACACGGTGTAAACCCGTTTGCATCATTTTTTACGCCCGGTTGCCTGGCTGTTGGAAAAGCTTGCGAGGTGGTCGCTGCGAAATCGACCATCTAAAGTGCTCCATTACTCGATGAAACGCCATTTTATGCAGTATTAGCTCAATCCTGGG